GCCCGGCGATTCTGCGCGCGTGAGGAGCCGCAGGGACAAGGGCGGAGAGTGCGCCACCGCGACCAGCAGGCGAGCCCCAAACCGCCCCAGAGGCGCCACGGGCAACGAAAGCACCGCCGGAAGCCAAAGGCAACGCGAGCGCAACCGAAACTCTGCAAACACATGGGGAGGCCGCAGTTGCCGCAGGGAGTGCGCCGGCCGACGACAGTGCGGCGCAAGAGGCTCCGTCACCTTCTCCTCCGAGTGGCGGTGTTATTGCCAGCACCGACGCCGAAGAGCCCACTGAGAAGACTCCCGAGGCCGCCCAAACTTCTGAGGGTGCGCCGACGCAAGAAGGAGGGCGCCAACAACGTGAATCTGCCGCTGGCAGTGCGAGGGACAAAGCACCGGCAGCAGAGGCCTCCACCAGCACAAACGACGCAGCAACTCCGGCAGCTGGCGGTGCAGGAGCCGCAACACCGCCAGCCGCCACAACCAGAAAGAATGCAACGAAGGCGGCGCCCGGCGACAGTGACGGCAGCAGCACCGCGGCATCGCACTCCGTCTCCCCCCTTGCGCTGCTTCTTCTGCTTGTGTGTGCGGCTGCCGCTGCGGTAGTGGCCGCGTGAGGGACTGAGTGAGAGGGAGGGAGGGAGGGCCGTGCATGCACACACAGCTCGTCCTTCTTCCGCTATTTGTGTGTGTGTTCCCCTGCACGGACTCTCTTGCCCTCGCCGCACCCCACGAGGCAGACACGCATAATGTGCTCATAACTATACACACAACTCCACTCATGCAGGCCAGTCGGTCTTCTTCCTCTTTTGCAACCGACGAGCCGCTGCCGCCCTGCTTGGCCGCATGGGCACAGCACCGTAACTGTTTCTATCCTTTTTGTTTGTTTGTTTGTTTCCATTGCTTTGAGTGGGCGACCTCCTCCTCCTCTCTCTTCCTGGACTGGGCTGTGCGGGAAAAAGAGGGAATGTGTGTGTGTGTGCTGGTCTTCCCACGTGTTGCTGCGCGTCCCCACTGCTCGGTGGATGCACCCCCACGCTTCGGCTTCACTTCACGGGGTTTGTTTTGCTTTTTGGAATTTATCTGCTTGTGTTTGTGTTGGTTTGGGTGCCTGCATCCATTGCGCGGGCTGCTGAAGTGTGATGTGTGTGCCACAACCTTCGGGCGCCCCTCTCTCTCTCTCTCTTGCTGCGTGGCTGCGTGGGGTCGTGTATCTCTGTGCACATTTTATTTCTCCTTCCCCCTCTCATTCTCCTT